AGGGGCGCCCCCGACTGTTTATTCTGGCCCGCACGGCCTTGTATCCATTGTCTCCTGGGGTCCGGCTGTTCCCTGGATACTGCGTAGCCACGAACAGGAGGAGTCAGTCTGGTTTGCGCAGTCCAGAATAAACAGTCGGGGGCGCCCCCGACTGTTTAAACGCGACCCGCACCGCGCAGGTAGCAAATAAACAGTCGGCCGATCACCATAGCGCGTCTTTTTTTGTCTTGCGGTAAAGCCCGGTTATTCTGCATTTCTGTGCAAGAAAGTGTCATGTGTGTTCCGAGTCCCCTCGTCTGCAGTCATTCACTCATCCTGGCTTCGGAAGACATTGACTCTGCAGTCCTCAGTGCACAGACCATTTGTTGAGCTCAGTGACCAGTATGCCGCAGCCTCTTCAGTCCAGACCGATTCCAGACTGAGAACTACTCGGCAAGTGTTGCTTCAGTCGCAAGCGGATTCCAGAATGAGAACTTAACTCACCGGCAAGTGTTAGAGAGTCCTTGATGCATAGTGCCTTTCACTTGGCACCCGTTTAGAAGCAGGATCTAGCGAGAAGTGGCAGGTCGCGCTGACCTTGCAAAATCATGGCACCCAAGGGCCACTTGGAAGAGCAGGATAGCAAATCGCATTAGGAAAGAAGCTCGTGGAATTAGTTTGCCAGACTCAGGCGATCCGAAGAAGAAGGCCGCGGCCAAGGCCGCCAAGGCGGCCGCCAAAGGAAAGGCGAAAGTCGCACCTGCCCCAGCCGCCGGCCCAGTGGCTGGAGCAGCCCAGCCACGGGAAGCGGCGGAAATCCCGCCGGGATGTGAAGAACACCGCTACTGGGATGGAGGTGTGAACCAGACCCTCATCTGCAAGGTGAATGATGCCGTCGCCACGATCCTGGACAAGTTCCCCGGCCACTCGGCAGAGAAGCTTAAACGCTATAAAGCCCAAACGACCTGCCGCCAGGCATATTTAACCCTAAACCCTGGACGATCTGCTGCGAGGCATCCAGAATGAAAAGCCGCTGGACATCTCCGACGGCGGTTCCGAGAAGGCGTTCGACGCAGGCGACTACCACCGGGCGATGACTGGTGCTGGAACTTACCGCTGTGTTGGCAACCTCTTCATGATAAATTTCGCCTACAGCCCCAGTCGGACTGCTTCATGTCTGTTTCGTGTGGCACATGGCTAGCTTTGCAAACACTTGTAGGCACCGATGTATTTCCTGTGTGTGTTGCAGGAACGTACCGGTGGCTGAAACAGCACTGATGGAGTGCAAGGACAAGATCTTCAACTTCCGTTGGGAGAAGGGAACCCTCAAGAACTATCCCTTTGAGATATCCATCGCGGTGATGGACACCTCGCCCTTGGATCACCCCGCGGGCTTGCTCCGCGTCAGTGCGGCCCCCAAGCCTGTGAAGAATCTTTGATGTCCAGGTGCTGCGTGCGAGCTGCGTGCGCATTTCGTGCCTCTGAGGCCCGGAAGAGTACGAGCAGGCGTTCTTGTTGTGGATGGCCGAGAAGTTGGACAGTGGCGCAGATGACACGGACAAGGAAGCAATGAAGCGAACCTTGTCTCCAGGGTTCAGAAGTGTAGACTTATACGCCATGTTCCCCTGGCATGCGTTCTTTGAGCCAAGGATTATTGACCTCGATCCCCTTCCGATTCCATGTTTTAGCCAGCGAAGACGCAAGGTTTTTCCACATGGCCAATCTTCGAGAGGATGCAACAGAACTGAATAGTTTTTGAAATGCATCGGTTTGACAGTTTGCGTTTTAAGGCAAGCTCCTTTCCGAAGTTATCCAGCAAAGGTAGTGAAGTCGTTCAAGCTCGTGGGCAGATCGGCGATCCAACGGATCTTCGAGCTCGAAGGCTTCAGGTTGCGCAAGCTGAAAAGCCACGGACCGGGTGGATGCGACCCAGCGCAGCTGGCACAGCAGTTCATGAAGGAGCTGCCAACGACATCCGGCGAAGAAGATGTGACGTCCGAGACTTATGTCCCTTTGGTTTGATTGGCAAGACTCTAAATAGCCAGTGGGCTGGAGAAAAGCAAAACATAGCAGGAAGACTACACGATCCCCACGAAGCCTCGCCCGTAATTCCAAAGCTGTTCGTCTGAATGCATTCAACGGTGTGCGTCTGAGATCAAAAACGCCTTCAAAGTCTTGGAGAATGTCTTGGCCGTGGATGAGGTGAAGCAGATCATTCTGGCCTGCGAGCGCGAGTACGGGAAGCTCAGCCCGTTTTACAGCATGTCCCAGCTCGAGGCACTCATGGCGAAGACCAAAGATGCCGGCCAACTGGCCTGGGCGGTGGATGCCATCAAGTTCTATGTTGACCGGAAATTCGCCACCTCCGGCGAAATGTCCGCGAGGAACTTGACTGGCAAGACCACCAACAACAGAGGGCTGCTGGACGTCATGCTGGAGAAGCAGAAGATGCTTGAGCACCTCTTGCATCAGTGGCTGGAACAGCAAGCCTTGGACGCGGAGTCCAAGGTCGGGCGAGGGCAAAGACACTCTGGGGCGGATGTAGTGTTCAGAGCGTTCCATCCTTTTCAAACTTTGGATGCAGATTCAGGGCTTAGGCAAGTGTTTCTGCAGCACTCGCGACTTGACCAAAACGGGTTCTTTCTCTCGGGGAATCGAAGCCTGAACTGGATGGGGCAGAGGTTCATTGCATAATATGACAGAATGACAGGCGGTGATCCGTTCGGTGAGCTCGCCCGGCAGAGCTGCGAAGTTTTTCGACAAGAACTCCGCGTGGAAGGGCAGCGTCCAGCCAGGCTCGCAGGAGATCCTTGACTTCATGCGCGGAGTCATCTTTGGCCCGCGCTTCGACGGGCAGCTGAGGCATCTCATGAAGAGTGGGAAGACTGCTGCCGAGCTCTTCGCGACGGAGCCCTTCCAGTCGGAGATACTCCGTATCGAGGAGGACGTGCAGCAGCATGCCCCAGAGGCACGGGCTTTGCATGTTTGCAGGTCGTAGTGTAGTAAGACAGTTTAAGAGCACCAGTGGATATCAACAGACGCGTGAGTGCAGCTGACATGTTGCAAGTGATGCACAGTCATTCAGTCATGGCCATCTGAGCACAGGCTGTTGCTGCGGCCGCTGGAACAGCGCGTGCGCCAGCCGCTGGAACAGCAGAGGAGGAGGCGGGCTTCGCGGACATGCTCACCTCCGTCTTGACGGCGGAGGAGCTGGAGAAAGACACCGACAGCGCTGTCGAAGGCTTCCTAGAGAAGGCAGACTCACTCGTCCGGCGCTACATCACAACGGTCACTGAGGTGGAGTCCGGCTCGGAGTTCGTGGACATGCTGAAGGAGAAGTCCGTGTGGAAGATGAGCAGAGTGGGCGTGATGTATGCCGTGCAGCACGCAGGCGAGAGCGATTCGCTTCCCCACTGTCGTACCCCGAGATTTCGGTACGAGCACATGCGGAAGTACTTCAACGGCATCTTGGGTCGGAACGGCGAGGGAGATGAGAGCTTTCCTTCCAACATGCTCTTTTTGTTGCTTTAATGCTGGGCATTTCGGGCACAATGAAACGTTTCTCAAGTGCATGACGGATGGGAATGGAAAAGCACTTCCGAAGCGGCGCGAGACGTTGTTTCTGCAGTTCGATGAAGAGTCGCTGCAACAGCGCCGAGGCAAGAAGCAGGGAGTGCTTGCTTTGGTTCAGGGTGCTGTGGTGTGCGCTTCTCCGGACATCACCATGGTGCCCCCGGACCTGCAGGAGCGGATGCACTTTACCAGCACAAGTCCTGCCACGAATGTGATTCAGGGAATCGGCGTGCCTCCGTACGACCAGCTTTGGCTTGTCAACAAGAAAGAGAAGTCGAACATCATCGCAGGAGGCGGCGTTGTCCGCGCAGGTGGCACGATCCCAGATGAGGAGAAGACGGAGCGACCGGACTTGTCGCAAGATCGTGTACCGGTCTGTTGGCACACTTTGCCAGTCGAACTCTGGGAATCTCGGCCTCACACATAGCTACTTGACGGTCCGAGTTCTGAGGTCACAGCCCCAGAGCCTTTAAACTATTGTTGCTTGGGGTCTTGTCGGGTTTGGGAGGCGTTGGAGTTGACTATTATCAGGAAAATGAATCCATTGCAGCACGAGGCCTTTGCTTCCGCAAGACCCACCTGTAGAAGAATCCTGTCCTGGCACATCAGCAAGGAAAAAAGGAAAAACACAGCATGCCCGGAGTTCACCGCTGGTCCAGGGTCCTGGGTCGAAGCACCCTCTCTCTTCAGGAGAGGGGATTTGCTTGTTGCTAGTTTTGAGCCAGCCGCAGGCTTTGTTGGAGCACTCGGTTTGTAGCCCGAGCCCTTGTCTGGTGACTCGGCAAGGCAACCCTAATCCCAACTTGGGCTTGTCGTGGTGGGCGCACGGTTCAACTCCACCGCATGCTCCACATCCCAGACTCGAAGATCTAAGCGAGGAGAGTACAACATGACAGGTCACACCCCGAGCATCCTCATGTCGGTATCGGGAAGCAAAACCTGGTCCGTTCTAGACCCAAGACTGGCCATTGAGTCGTGCAGCACAATGGTAAGTGCCGTCTTCATATCCTGTGCTGGGGGCTTTTTCCATGAGCGATTCAGAAAGCAGTCTAAATTTCAAGCAGCGTTGTGCGAGAAAACCAGGAAGAGTTGGTGCACTCGTACAGCCTCAACGGCCTGATCTGCCTGACCACTCTCGACGAGACGTGTTGCATGGCAGCGGTAAGGTCGCAGATCCCCTGCTTGGCCGTCGTCTTCAACGAGAAGCATGGGAAGGCGTTGCACGAGCGGCTGCTACAGTGTGTGTTCTCGGCAATGAGGGATCCGCAGGATGCCTTGTACGAGGCAGCACTGGCCAAGATCATCGGCAGCAGCCGCAAGAATGTGAAGAAGAAGAAGGTGACGAGGCCCGTCGCGAAGTCGACCGGCAAGGGCAGGAAGAGAAAGTCCAAGGGTGGCAAGGATCCCAAGGAGACAAAGACTAAGAAGAAGAAGACCAAGAAGGTCGTCGAGGAGGAGCCCGAGGAAGAGGATGACGAGAACGATGACGCCGAAGAGGACAACGACGAGGAGGATGAGGACGAGGACGAGGATGTCAGCGACGAGTGAGATTCGATTTGCCATCGCTGTCACAGCGGATTCGGGCAGGGCTTGGCTGATACAGCTCATTTGTGAGCTTGCGGTTGCGTGTCTGTAGGTGCACAGAATGCTACATACAAAGGCAAGTGCATTCAGGGTCGTGCTTGTAAATTATCAGCTACTTGAAGCAAGTTGGCCAGCCCATCCCATTTTGAGAGTCCGCCAAATTCCCACCACGATTTCTGAAGTCTTCGCAGGCTCAGAGCATGCTGCTGGCCGGTCACTGGATAAGTCTGGAACCAAAAATCCCACAGCGGCCTAGATCCTGCCGTCTGAGTACATTGAACCGGCCACTGCACGTTGCCTGCTAGAGGGGTGAAGTTCAGATCCCTTGCCGCCTGCGCACGCACTGCAAGCAAAAAATGAGCCTGAACGAATTGCTGGGAAGACACGCTCATGTTCTCAGAGTTGCAAGACTGGCGAGTGCCGAGTGCCATGCCTAGCGAGAAGATTTGCTTCGTCGGAGTTGAGATGCCTTGTAGTCGGTCGCCTGTCCATATTCCTCCGCAATGTTACCTGTTACGTACGGAATCGTTTCCAGGCTGTCAGACCATGGATTCCGCATAGACTTGAGTCTGGCCTGCTTACCTTCACACAATCTTGCCCGGACTCGTACTGCATGAGCCTACTGTCTGCGTCAGCAAGTGCTTCAGGAATAGACACCATCCGCTGTCCTTGCCGCGTCCCATCGCTTGGTATCTCGTGATTTCATGTGGCCAGTGGCCTGTCTAAGCTCATATGGAACAAGAATACCTGCGTTGAAGCACTATGACATGACGTGACGTCCGATGTTTTGAAAAGGCTGTACAGCAAGATGCTTGACACGTGCTGTACTGCACTCAGGCTCCAGGACGGGGGCTCGTGGGGCCACTCCTCAAAGCTACGTATTTCTTGCGATTGCATCTGGCACAAACTTTACAAACTTTGGAAGCAACCCGCTATTTTCCAGATGTTCCAGTGTGCATGGATCCAACACAGAACTGCGTCATCGTGTGGCTTGACCCATCGTGCTAGTGACACCGCAAGATGTTTCAGTTTGCTACTAGGACGTGCTGAAGCTACCGTGCAAACTGAGCCAACTTAGTAGCTGAGTGGATACATACACTTTACACTTTTTGGGATAATATTACCCACTCTAAAACTGAAAGCATACACTTTTTGGGGGCGTGCTGCTGCAGTGCTTCTCCTGCCATGCCTTGGAAGTGTGTTCGCTGCCGGATCAACTACACGCACCGCCGTCATGACAAGGTGTGCTGGAAGTGCCGACCCAGCCAGCGAGGGTCGACGAACAGGCTGGTCGCTGTTCGAAGGCTCCCGATGAAGACCAGGCCCAGCAGCAGGAGCAAGAGTTTCATCTGGGAGCACGAGGCGAAGCAGAGAAAGCAGTCGGCCAGTGATCCGCAGCGGCTGGAGCAGTCACCATACAACTTCAAGCAGTTGCTGGAGCAGCAGAAAGTCCATTTGCAGACATTGTTTCGCAACGACATGTCAAAGGTCCACGATGTCTTGGGGGTCGGCCATGCTTTCTTCGACAAGATCCAACGACGTAGCCGGACAATGCTGCCGGCCAGGACTGCAATCAATGTCGCGGGTTTGGTCTCTTTTGCTATGGCCAACAGCGGTTCCCTGAATGACGACGATTGTTATCGCTTGAAGTACAGGCAACTGTTGCAGCTCCGGGCCAAGGACCTTTCGGAGGCAGAATGCCGCTGGTTGAACATAGTTGGCAACATGGACTAGGTGCTTTTCGGCGCAATTGGGCACTGGCAATATCTGTTCTTCAAACGTGAAAGTCGAGAGACTGGTTTACCCAGACTAAAGATAGAGAGAGAGAGAGAGAGAGAGGGAGAGACAGGAAGAGGGCATCGCTCCTGGTCAGGGACAGAAGAAAAGGCAGGTCAGAGCCCAATTGGCCGGTAGGCGCAGTATGCGAACTGCGTCTTGGGATGGCAGCTGTGAGCGGGGAAGCAGCAGATGGAAACAGCAGCGACTTTTCTGGGTTTCGCATAGACACTGTGGCGCATGTAGGATGTCTGATTGTGTTGCACATGGAGAAGGCTGTGCAAGGTATTACAAACGGCAGACTATTTAGCAGCATGCTTGTGCCTTGCGAGGTGGCAGAGGTTGTTGATGTGTCGGGCTTGCGCAATGGAATGAGATTCACGGTATCGTCCTCACTTAGTCACATAGCTGCAACACAAAGTCACAGTATTCACCACCTTGACAAAGCATTCTGATTCTTGCAATGTTGCAGCTTTGCTCAAGTGGTCGTACCCGGCCGGTCTCCAAGGTTTGCGGCCTCTGGTCGACGGAGCAGACTAGGTGAGGGACGTCGGCCAAAGTAGATCCGTAACTTCGGCCTCTGGTCGATAGAGCAAACTAGGTAAGGGAAGTCAGCAAAAGTAGATCCGCAACTTCGGCCTCTGGTCGATAGAGCAAACTAGGTAAGGGAAGTCAGCAAAAGTAGATCCGTAACTTCGGCATCTGGTCGATAGAGCAAACTAGGTAAGGGAAGTCAGCATTTGTAGATCCGTAACTTCGGGAAAAGATGTCTGAGCCGCTGCGTGTCGTCAGCGCCTGCTCGGGCTTGGGCACAGAATGTTTTGCCCTGAAGGCAATGGGTGTGCCTCACAAGCTTTTGATGGCCTGTGAGAAGCTGGAGCACATGCGTCGGTTTCTCAAGCGCAATCATGGCCCGGCCGTCGTGGTCAGTGACTGCAACAGTCGCAAGTTCCTGGCAACAGGAGGAAGGGCAGATCTCTTTGTGGCAGGGTTTCCGTGCCAGCCCTTCAGTGCTGCCGGCGACGGCGGTGGCGAAGGCGATGCCCGCGGCTCTGTCGCCTTCGCCATTGTGAAGTGGCTGCAACAGCACAAGCCAGCGGCCTTCATCCTGGAGAACGTCGGGGGCCTCCTAGAGAGACATCGCAAGACTTTCGACAAGATTATCAGGAAGCTGCGGTCAATCAAGCGACTGCGTACAGCCAAGCACAACGCAAAGAAAAGCCTGGACGCAAAGAAGCTGAAGAAGAAGAAGAAGACGAAGAATCCGGGCCACTACGTGCTTCAGTGGAAAGTTTTGAACTCTCTGCACTACGGTGTGCCGCAGGCCTTGTGGGAGGGAATGTGTTTTGTCTAAATCTTAGGTCCCCGCTAGACCGGTTGTTTATGATGTTGTAGCTGGTGTCCCGTTATCTCTGCCCTGTCTCAGAATCGCACACGGCTCTTCATCGTGGGGATCGCACGGTCCAAGATGAAGCAGCCGTTTTGTTTTCCGAAGGTGCAGCGCAAAGTCAGTCTCAAGAGTATCTTGGACACGAAAATCAGAGGAAGAATCCAGGACATGCCGGCGAACCGCGTGGCCAAGAGGAACTTGGAGGCTGCAGAGCTGAAGTTCAACAAGAGAGGGATTGACGTTTACAAGAAGTACGTGGCCGTTGATATCGGGGCCTCGCCGTCCAGACCTTACAGCGTTCTGAACAGGCTTCCGTGCTTGACGGCGAGTCGGGGCGGTAGCTGTCCTCACTTCGTGACCGGCCTGCGCCGGCAGTTGAGCGTCACAGAACTGATGAGGGCACAGGGTCTGAACCCTTTGAAAGTCAAATGGGACCGCATTTTGAGTGAGCGACAGCTGGGCACTGCCTTGGGCAATGGCATCACACAGACAGTGCTGGAGGCATTGCTGTGGGAGGTCTTGACATCCTTGGGTAGGAGACGGATGGCAAAGCTGGCAATCAAAGCGGGCTGAAAGCCTGAAAGCGGTGTTGCGAGGCTTTACAAAAAATGGCGTGGTCGCGAGCCAGTCTAATCATCGATTGCTACAAATTTGGGTATCTTTCACGGAGGAAGAACCCAGCAGAGGCATGCAGGCTTGGGGGCGCTAGGTAATCGCAACAATTCGTTTCCCTGCAAGACAAGAGCACCCCCGGTCGGTTTGGTGACTACAGGGGGGGGGTGAATTGAGGGGGGTTCGAGCACAACAAGACACAACAATTGGCTGCTTTTTCAGCGCCACGTCGACACGGCTGCTTCTTCAGCGCCGCACAGGTCATGATGATTCATGACTACACGGGCCACATGATTTCATGAGTATAGGGGGGGTTTCGGGGTTTCGAAACTGGAGGGTTCCAGGGTTTCCAATAAGGTCATGAAATCTGCCGCTGAGCAAGCAGTGTGTGTGTGTGTGAGTGTGTGTGTGTGTGTGTGTGTGTCAGTGTGTGTGTGTGTGTGTGTGCGTTTGTATCTCTGTTTTCTTTAGCTATATACAGTCGGACAAAGAGGTAGACCTAATTCACCCTAGCCACTATACGCAGCAGCAACTTCTTAGTATTTTTCACTTCGTGAACTGTTCGATGGACCCGCAACCCAGGCATCGTCAGTCGTCAGCCCCTGAGACTGCCACGGAGCTCCGGAAAGCATCGCGTGAGGGCCTTGTTGACCTGGCGTGGGCTCTTGGTTGGTTCAGGGATTGACTTGAAGGCTTAAGAATGTGGGTAACCATGCTTGGGGATTTAGGGTTTTTTTTTTGGAAGCGTGATGACCGTAGTCTACCTGTGCAGGCACACGCTGGTGAGACTAAACCATCTTGTAATTCAGGTTTGGGCTTCCTTTCTGCATTTCAGATGGAGTGGGGTTGGACATCGATCTCGCCATTAACCTCGATGCAGCATCCCAGAAGTTTCTTCCAGGAGCTTGAATTCAGAAAGGGGTTTGTGAAACATTGTGCAGCCGACGACATCGTGGACCAATATTGCAGAGTGGCTGAAAGATGAGATTCCCATCAGAGTGAAGAGGCCGCTCACTTGTAAGGTCTGCAGCAAAACGGGCACCCCTTCCATCTGAGATCTGTACGTGGTTCGCCACATCTAGCACAGAATCGAATCTCATCAGCATCGACATCTGCCGCACCGCTCAGGTCCGACGGATCTGCAGACCGCTTTCTCTTGGGAGGTTCGGTGCTGGCAGCCTCCAAAGGAGTGCTTTTCCCAGTCATTCTTCGCCAGACCGGGCCGAATGCAGTATCCAAAGCTTGGATCTGTCTATCTGGAGTGGGATCATCGTAATATCTGTCCAAAGTCCCGCTTGATGTGGCCGATATTGCTTCTAGAACCGCTGGGGAGGTGCAAATCGCTGATAAGAGCGTGATGGATGATCGCTTGAAGGTATGGGTCCCGATCTTCGTCAGGTCAACCTTTTCAAAGCAGTGCTCCTCCCCCCCTGCCTGTCGCGTATTGGCTCGCTCCTGTCCGATGATCTCGCTTGCTCTTCTCAATCTTAGCTGATATGCCTCTCGGGTCATGGGTTGATTCCATACTCTCTCGCCAGATACTGTACGGGAAGCAAAAAGGTAGTTGTCTGGCGCGGTGTCCTGATTCTGGAACGGCCACTGGCTGTTACAGCCACATAAGGGTGCGTCATGCAGCCATCGATGCAGCAAGCTGGCCAGGGCCGCCGGGATCGGCACGTCCCGCGCGTTTGTCTTGCGGTTCACCTTTTCCACAGAGATCTGTGGGACTCCGTGATCCTCAGGCGCTAAGTTCTGGAGCCAGCGGAACCGACACTGCATCGTGGCCCCGCCACGTTCGGCAAGAGCAAGCTGAATGAGAATTGCCACGCAAACCCAGGGCGCCCCGTCTTGCCTCAGCACCTCCATCAAATGAAGAATCTGCTTCTTGTTCAAAGTCGTTCGGGGCCCCCGTTTCTTAGCCGGCTCTGGCTTTGGATTCAGGCACAGCGTTTTGTGGCGAAGGCAGCAAAAGCGAATCACCTTAGCGGCTGCATGCTGCGAGTCACGGCATTTCTCAAGGTTCACCTTGTTCTTCTTCACTTGCAGGTCTTTGCCGATATTTTTAACATCGATTCCACTCTTGCATCGCTTGTAAGCACAGCATAGCTTGATTGGGGAATCCCTTTTCCTGGCAGGCCCTCGTGTGCCCGTTTTGAGCTTTGGAGCCATTTCTGTACAGAGGGAGGCAACCAGACTATGTAATTGAGCCAGTGCTGTTTTGCCAGCCATTCCCATCATGCCTTAGGCTTCGTCGGGCAGGACGAAAATTACCCGAACACGAAACCAGACCTCGAAACCAGACTTGGACGGAAGTCTGGTTTTTCCGGCTTCCGGGGCCTCGTGGGGCCCGGTTGTGTTTTGGGTTTGCTTTCCCGGGGGGTTTGAGAACTGGGGGGTTTCCCACTAATAACAGGGTTTGGTGACTACCGGGAAAGGGGGGGTTGAGGGGGGTTCGGGGGGGTTCGGGGGGGTTTGGGGGGGTTTGGGGGGGGTGGTTCGGGGGGGTTTGGGGGGGGTTTGGGGGGGGGGTGGGGGGGGGGGGGGGGGGGGGGTTGAGGGGGGTTCGGGCACAAAGACACAACAACTGGCTGCTTGTTCAGCGCCACGTCGACACGGCTGCTTGTTCAGCGCCCCACAGGTCATGATGATTTCATGACTACAGGGGCGTTTCGAAACTGGAGGGTTCAAGGGTTTCCAATAAGGTCATGAAATCTGGCGCTGAGCAAGCAGCCAAGGTTATATCTGATGTCGGTTCCAGGGTTCCCAATAAGGTCATGAAATCTGGCGCTGAGCAAGCAGCCAAGATTATATCTGATGTCAAGGGACTATAAGGTTCTCTGATTCGCCAAGAAGACACAACAACTGGCTGCTTAATCAGCGCCACGTCGACACAGCTGCTTCTTCAGCGCCGCACAGACATCAGTCATTATAAAAACCCCTTCAACACAGGCACGGTGTAACAACCACTTCAGCACACAAGAACTAACTGGCTGCTTGTTCAGCGCCACGGCGACACGGCTGCTTCTTCAGCGCCGTATGGGCTTTATAACATGCAACTACATGCGATGAGGCCGCAACGCAATGCGACCCAGTCAGCAGAGAGCAAGAAGAGACGCCTGGGCAGCAATTATGTCGTAAGGTGGGCTCTGCAGTTAGCATGCGCCCACATCAGCAAGTGCTCTGTATGTTCCGTGAGATTCACATGTGAAGATCGGCTCTTTTCACCCGGTGCCGCATGCTTCAGCTCCAGCAGCACAAACGTGGCCACTAAGACTCGGGTTCTCGGGTTTGTCTTCTCCTACATCTTCCTTCTTATCTAGTCTCCTGTCTAGTGCGGGAATGTTCTGCTGCTATTGCCGCCGTTCCCCCCGCATGGAGCTTTGCATTCACATCTCGAAATGCTATATAATTAAGCCACCTCGGCTAATCCGCGGCAAACCCGAAAGCCCAAGCCCCATGGCTGTTGCAGCCACTGTCTGTGGCTGATGCCGGTGCTGTTGCTGGTGGCGTGGCTGCTGCCGCTGCTGTTGCTGGTGCTGTGGCTGGTGCCGGTGCTGTTGCTGGTGCTGTGGCTGGTGCTGTTGCTGCTGCTGTTGCTGGTGCTGTTGCTGTTGGTGCTGTGTGCTACACCCCTCGTGCGACAGCGACAGTCAGGATCCTCATATTGGCGTACTGGGCTCCCTGAAAATTAAACTGTCCTGCAGTCACCTGCGTTTGCCGCTGGCACTACTACCCCCAACTCCGGCATAGCCGCCGGAGCCTCCCTCACGGCCGCCACCGCCGCCTCTCTTGCGGCCGATCATCTGCACCTGCCAGAATGCTCCAGGGTGGTGCCGCGTAACCTGCTGTAGTTAACCGCGCCTCCAAGGCGATGTTTTTCGCCTGCTCGCTGAGCAATTCGGCCCGCGCTTCCTTTCTGTCCTGGCGCTCAAGGCTGTCAGAACTTTCACAAGAGGCTGGCAAAGGGCAGTCCTTGCGAGCCGCCTCCTGCTCGTCCTGCAAGCGCCCGGCCAAAATCCGCCGCTGCGACTGCGACTCCTGCCAGCGTCACTCAGAAAGCTTAATGGAACTAAATGTCCTGTCCGTCCTCGAGGTCGTCATTCAAGGACTTCCGCACCCCGAAGTGCCATGCATCGCGGTGCTTCACAGCTGCCGTCCATTCCTGGTCGCGGTGCTGCAGCTGCAGCTGCGTCTTCTCCTGGGAACGGGCCGTCTGTCTACTGCGATCTCGCAAATGCAGTCAGCTTCATCGGGCCTGCTGTTTCAGCAACTCGCGGCTCTTCTCCTCCTGACAACAGGGCAGTCTGTCTGGCGCCATCTTGGCAATGCAAAATTCGTCGCGCCTCCATCTTCTTGAGAGTCGCCTTGTGCTGCTCCTGAGAAAAGGGCATGCTGTCTGGCGTTACCTTGGCAGTGCGCACAATTCATCCGGCCTCGCGCTTCATGTTCTCGACTCTCTCATTGTGGAGCTGCACCGAGCTCCGCTTCGCCTCACGGCCGGCTGTTCCAGCCGCTTCGTCTGCCTGTGATGTGTGGCTCTTGCGGCAGAACCCCTCCGCAGCCATGTGAGCGTGCCTCGCCTGCTCGGCTCGCATCTCCGCGCGGCCCCAGGCTTCCTCATGGGTTGGTTTGGTCTGAAACCTTCCCTCAGGCTGCTTACTCAGCGCCTGCACATCAAGCCTGGGTTCTATGTTATATAGGCTGCTTGTTCAGCGCCTTTTGTGGGCTGCTTGCTCAGCGCCCTTCCCCTCTTCTAACAACCGGCACCCCGTCCTGCCACGCTTCTTCAGCCTCTTGCGCGCGATCCGCTGCGCGATCTGCGAGGCGTAGTCGCTGAGCAGGTGTCTTCCCTTAAATCCAAACAGTACGTTGTGCACTGGTGTTTATTGTCGAGTCGTTGTTGAAGCCAATTTGAACCAAGAGTCGGGAGCCTCTGAACTTCCTCTTCGCGGGGTTGTGCTCTCCGCTCCCCTGCCACGATCCATGGTTGTCTTTCCGCGAACGCCCCATGGCTTCGGAGCCGCTGTTGCTGCTGCTTGTGCTGTCGCTGGTGCTGTTGCTGTGCTGGTGCCGTGCTGCTGCAAGTGCTGTGGCTGGTGCCAGGTGCCGGTGCTTTTGCTGGTGCAAGTGCTGTGGCTGGTGCCCTAAGCTTCAGTCTGCCGGTTGCCGCTCTAGGCTGCTCGATGCCCTGATGATGTTCTAGGCTGTTTCTGGCCTCATGTCATGCGTGATCTTCCGGCGCACTAAGCCACAACATGCGGCCCAGAATCAATCCAAGATTCAATCAAACATGCCATCAGCAACAACAACGGCTCGCATCTGACCGTGGCCAAGCCCGGGCTCCTGGCCATTGCCGTGGCGCAGGAAGGCCGAGATCAGGCGCACGCCTTTGAACACCAACGACGAGGCAATTCTATTTCACTGGATCAGTATGAGGCCAGCAGGGCTGCTTAATCAGTGCCCTTTCAGGCTGCTTGTTCAGCGCCTTCCATCCCGTCACGAGCTTCAAGCCTGTTTCATGGGGGCTGCTTGTTCAGAGCCCTCTGAGGCTGCTTACTCAGCGCCTTCCATCCCATCCTCAGCCTGAAACCTGTTATTCGGGCTGCTTCTTCAGCGCCCTGGAGGCTGCTTCTTCAGCGCCTTTTCCATCCCAACATCAACTGAGGGCTGCCCACTGAGTAACGTGCCGCCTCTTGCGTGGCTCAGCACCTGAGTACGATGACCCGGCATGTGGACCTATACTCCTTCCAAAGAATCCCTGCGCAACCAGACTTTGTAGCAGATGAGACTTTACTAGTTCATCAAGTGAAAGAGCCCCTTCCAGCAAATGCTAGGCGCCTGCCTAGTCGCTGTGGCGCAGTGATTCAAATCCTTAGCGTATGGCGTGTTTCATGTGGGCACCAGAAAACGAGCCCCGCCCATGACTCCAGCACGGGCTGCTTGTTCAGCGCCCTATACTTGCTCTATTACAGGCTGCTTTTTCAGCGCCTTGGGGCTACCTACGTACTTCAATACAGGCTTGTTATTCAGCACACTCATACCCAGCCGTGTCATATGTTTCTGGACTCACCACAAAAGCGGATTCACTCAGCCGAGGACTCGCCAACTGGAACTTGCAGCAAGCTCTGCAAGATGCACTGGGTACTGATGGGTCTTTGTTTGGCTGGTCACAATCATAATGAAACCATGCATCACTAATGGATCACTAGGCCACTAGGTACCAACCCCCTACACCCTGAATCTCCAAACAAAAAGCACTCAATCCCTAAAGCGCCTGGGTCACGAACCCAACCCCAAAAAACGCAAGCCCCGAGCCTTTAAGGGCGCAGTTTCGATCTCTTAACGCCGGAGTCATTCTTGATTTGTGGTGGGTTCGGGAAATGCTCATGTTTCCTCTTTTCGTGTTCTCTACGACAATGGTCCGGGCAAAGATGTTGGATTTGAGAAGCAATACTTTGCGGTTTTTTTCTTTATCTCTTCTCTCTCTCTCTCTCTCTCTTTCTCTCTGTCTCTGCTTCTCCCCTTTTTTTGTCCGTGGGCAGTCCCCGCAGCCCCCACACACCTATATGATTTCAAGTCAAGCTACCGACCCCCCACACCACCCCACCCCCACCAACCCGAGACACAAAGGCACACAGCTAAGCACCGGCAAGCTAACTCTATATACTGACTATACTGGACTGCATCAGTCCATTTGTAATGAACCGTAGATATATCGAATCCTAACCCGGAACCCTTTATACCTACCGGACTGCATCAGTCCATTTGTCAAAAACCATAGATGTATCGAAGGTCCTAAGCCTATACCTACCGGACTGCATCAGTCCATTTGGTTTAAACGAATGTCTTAGCCTAGACCTACCGGACTGCATCAGCCCATTAGCCAAAACCTAGCAGACTGCATCAGCCCATTTGCTACGCAAACCTAAACTATCTATATTCATCCTACCGGACTGCATCAGTCCATTTGCTATTTCCCCATTTGATGTAGTTATCTACGACTTTAAGCGTTACCCCTATATAGTAGGACTGCCTGTACTCTAACCCAACCCCACTGAAGCCGTCGATTTAGTAGTGGTTTGGGCGTTTAGGGTTCGGGCGTTTAGGGCTTATAGGGCGTAGGCGGTGTAGTGTTCAGTCTTCGGGTTTAAAGTTTGCTCATCATGATGGCTGCCGATACATCATGCAATTCTGTGGCCGGTATACCTGTGCCTGGCAGGACAATGCATAATGCATCTTCGTGCTTTAAGAGTTTAAGGTCATTCAGTCTAGGAACAAAGTCGTACTTGGAAAAGGCAAAACAAAATCAAGAAACATGTGGCCGCGAACAGAACGCACCTGGGTGCGACCTGTTTTTTTTGGCTATTTCAGCCACCAAAACCATGTTTCTGAACCGTGCCTGCACAATATAAAGATTTGTGTGGCCAGGAACAGAACGCACCTGGGTGCGACCTGTTTTTTTTTGCTGTTTCAGCCACCAAAGCCATATTTCTAAACCGTGCCTGCACAATATAAAGATTTGTGTGGCCAGGAACAGAACGCACCTGGGTGCGACCTGTTTTTTTTGGCTGTTTCAGCCACCAAAGCCATATTTCTAAACCGTGCAGCACACACCTGGGGGCGACCTGCTATTTCTGATTAAATGATGAAAACCATGTTTCTGAACCGTGGCTGCAAAGTTTGGAGAATAATCTTGCCATGGTGCAACCAATAACTTGTTTCTGAACACTTCAAAAAAGGTGGCTGCTCAAACAAAGCTCAGAGATTCTACTGCGAATGAAGTTGAACAATCAGGTTTCCAAATTCTATATTTCACCTTCTGCGCTCTAGTTGTCTATATACAAAACAACGACCTAAAAAAAGACAGAAAAAGAACCGCTATAGAGAAGCCAGTTTCGGGTTCCCTCGAACAGGGGGACAAGGGTACCCATGTCATAATGTATAAGGATCCCTGTAAGTCTTTCGTAAAGGTACGATGTTCCATCAAAGGGTTCCTTTAAAGGTTCCTTTCAGGGTTTCGGGTTTGTCAATTTCCCCAAGTGCCCGAAAAAGATGAGCCAAAGGATAACCCGTATTCGTGTCCGGGAGCGGGGCTTACTATTCAGGGTCTACATGATTGTCGCAGAACGGGTTTTGGGGCTCAGCCTATCGAGCTGGGAGTGGGTTCAGGGTGGTTTATTAGGGTAATTAGGGTAATTATCGGAAAAGTCGGCGCCTGGTTTAAGGATTAACGGTCAGGGTTGAGTTAGAGATTGAACGGATATTGAATGTTCCAACTTTCCCGCTTGCATTTTTTGCGCTTTTAGAGTTGTCGATGCCGGTGTTTAGGACTTGGGGCTCTGGGGTTTAGGGGTTTAGGATTTAGGTTTTATCCGACAACCTTTTATGGCTTAGGATCCGGTAGGCTGTAAGGTTCCAGGATTTATAGATTGATGGTTTTGGGGCACGTGTAAGAATTCTAGCAGCGCTTAGGGTTCAGGGCTTTAGGTTTGAGAGTTCATGGCTAGGGTTTTGGGGCTTGAGGGTGTAGAGCAATTTTTCACGGGTTGGGACGGAAGCTGACAGGCATTGTATGATGGCTTTTGTTGTAGATACTCTGTGTGTGTGTGTGTTTTGTAATTCTTTGGTGCGTGCGGTGGCCATGCCCGCGTCCCGCAAAAAGCAAACCCTACACCCAAAGATCCATTCGAAACAAAATCGCCCTTTGTAGGCTCCGGGCCATTGTTTTGCCTCCTTTTTGGAGGTTTAGGGAGACCCAAACCAGCAAATAACCCTACTCACAAGGGCAGGGGACTTAGTAAGTAGGTTATAAGTAGAGTTATAAGTGCCCTAAATGGAGTTACCCCAATTAAAACCCTACTTATAACCTACTTACTAAGGCCCCTGCCCCTCTAAGTATTCACCGGTCCCTCCCGGCGAGTTTCAGGCTTCTTCCTCTGCCAGCTGCCCAAGTGCTGCGCTGACAGAGTCTTCGCTTCCTTGAAGCATCTCGCGGAGGGAGGGGGGCCTTAGGGCGTTGGGGCTCCTTAACAGGAGCAATAAGGGTTTCTATAAGGGTCTTATTAGTTATAAGGGTAGTTCTCTAACTCAGGGACAGAGTCTTCCCTTCCTTGAAGCATCTCGCGGAGGGAGGGGGGGGCTTAGGGCTTAAGGGGTTAGAGTTCAGGGCTTAGGGGTTCGGGGTTAAAGAGTTTAAGGATTCAGGGTCGGAGGCCGGAAGATACAAAGAGATCGTAGGTGGGAGCCTCAGACAGAAACATGACGTAATAGTAGTGCAACTCTTATACTGATATACCGATATACCCCACACTTCTGTTGTTATTCTCAAGGCCCCTTATGTTACAATTCTTTAGAGTTCACCCTGAATTTCGGGAGGATCTAGAAAGTAGATCCCCTAACTTGGGGCCCTATACTACTCAGGGTACTTTGTATTGTGGGATCTACTTTTTGGATCCTCCCCTAAACCCTAGACCCTAACACCCTATAGATCCCTTAAAGGGACCCTTAAAGGAACCCTTAAAGGAGGGGGCAAGCACGGCGACTGGGACGCTCTTGGCTCGTAGGCAACTTCTGCAAAGCAGATTTGCTCCTTGGGCGCAATTTCGTACGGGTAGTTCTCTAAATCAGGGTCCCTTTTAGGCTCCTGTTATAAGGGTGCAGTAGTATTTTGGGCGACCTACAAAGGGACCCTAATTTAGAGAACTACCTTCTAGGAATGATTGGTGCGAGCATGCATTCCCTTGAGCGACTGCTTGAAGCCATCGCATTCGTTGAGGTCTGCCTGGAGCTTTGGATGCTCCCAAGCAAGCAGCGACACCCAAACCCCAGCAAGGATGCAATAAGTAGATCCCGTAATGGTGGTTCCTATAGAGTACCCTAGTAGTATAGGGCCCCAAATTAGGGGATCTACTTTCTAGATCCTCCCGGGGGTCTGGGCATGAATGCAGGTTAAGGGGCCGGTGCAGTGTGCCATGCGACTTGTCCTGGCGGGCACCTCTTCAGTTACCCTT